TTTAAAGTTATGTTTTATTTAAAAATTAACCCCAAGAAGATATTGAAGCCGCACATTCCTGCAGCTCTGTATTCATAGGTATATATTGACATGTATATTTGTTTAAATCCAAGCAGTGTAGGTCCATTTATGTGACCTGCCTCTTGCAGTCCATGTACAACTGAGCTTAGGCTGGGATAGGAAGAAGCAGCAGAAGATGCCAATTAGTTGTGCTACATTGCAATGATATTAAAAGCAAGGTACGCTATCATTCTGCTGCTTCTCCTTTTACTGTCTAGACACAGGTGGGGGGATGAGGGACAAGACCTGTACTTGTTACTTTTAGGCCTCATTCACACTGCTGCGCACATACATGCGTATATGCGAGTACGCGCGTATTGTACCATATGCAGCATATGCAAATAAATGGCTCCATACACATAGCTGCGTATGGAGTCATATATTAGCGTAGCATAAAAATGTGCAAAAACAGAATGGAACCGAGAGGCGTCCGGGCAGCGTATTTACGTGCATATACACATGTTTACGCACACATACGCGCGTATAGTGCATTAAAATTTCTATTATGCATTCTGGGATTGCATATAGTGTACGCATATACGTGCGTATATGCGTATACATACGCGCAAATACGCAATTTACAATTTTTCTCTTGCGTTGTGTGTGAATGAGGCCTAAGTGTATTTATATCCAACACTTTTCTTTTTTAGATTTGGATAGAGTAGGAAAGGGTTAAATCTACTGCCAGGTTATTTTTTGCTTTCTGTTCCACACTGGGGAGAATTCCCTTCACTTCCTGTCTTGGATACCTGGCAGGCAGTGATAGAAAATCTTCCCACAGTGAAGGGAATTTTCAGCTCGGATAGGTGTCATCGGGACATTTGTCCCTGTTGGAAGATTTACCCCCACGTCCAGCCCTGGCGACAACTCTAAACTTCTGGATTTCCCATAACTTTCTGAGTTGGTAACAATGATCACCGAGACTAATAAAGGGCTGAATAACCCCATTGAGGACACAGACCGCAAAAAATGTGTCAGAGGGTCTAACCCCTCCCCCACTCTATCCAAAACCTACAAAAAAGTGTCTTTACAAACAATTTACCACCATCAGAAAAATGTCAGGTTTCCTGCACTGCCAGACAGGGCTGTGCCATGTAAATCTCAGGACTGGATGAAAACAAAAAAACATCCTTTGTCAGACAAAACAACCAGTTATATGTATTTTATTTGTACATTTGTTTGTTTGCCTGGAGTTCAGCTTTTACAAGCAGCATTTCATCAGAAGAATAAGAATCCCACTAGACAATATTTACATCTGAATTGACCACATATAACCCCAGTGTTAATTCAGAAAAACCACAACCCTTCCTGGGAAAAAGGAAATAAATAATTAGAGGGAATTCTGATGCTGTTTTCCTGTGTTTTGTGTGCATTGCCCAGAAGGGAGGACACCGCATTTTGTATGTTGCTGCATGCTCCGTCTGTGTCCCATCAAACACTGAAAATAATGGTAAGAAGCCCACTGTGTGCCTTAGGTGACCCTCAAAGGTCAGTGTGTAAATATGCCAGAAGCCACTGCTGACTGCTTTCTGTAGATGTACATTCAGGAGGCAATGTCTTATCCTTACAACCTGGAAAAAGTATGTCTATATGAAATCATCTCTGAATTGGTGCTGACACTGTCCTTCCTCCTGGAGGGGGGCTACTTTTGTTCCCCATGGTCCCTGTGTGTGTGTTGTAAAGTAGCCACCGCTCCAAGCTCACTCCTGGGATGGACTACAATGTCACATTTAGTTTACTAATAGGTATTGAGGTTGTAGTCAATCCTGGAAGTGAGCTTGGAGTGGTGGCTACCTTACAACACACACAGGGATCATGGGGAACAAAAGTAGCCACCCTCCAGAAGGAAGGAAAGTGTCAGCATGAATTCAGAGATGATTTCATGATCTATAGCTGAGTGATACACAAATAAATTACATTATTATTAGTTAAGCTACTTCCATGCTTTTTTAAAGGTTTAACTCCTGAGTTTAGTGTCACTTTAATGGTAAAGAGACATTTCCCAAGACCTTTCCCAAGGACAAGCCTGTCACAAACACCAGCCAAATCTGACTTATAGCTTGTTTACTGAATAGAAATATTTGTTTCCTTTGCATGTTAAATGTTTGTCAATTGACCCTGAGTATGTCAACAAATGCTGAAGTGTGCAGGAAATAAGGGATTGTAGGGCCCTGTCTGCACTGAACTAAAGCATTTCCCCTGGACTAAAACCTCCCTGAGAATATATAGCTCAGTGTGAGTGGGTGAAGTCACAGAGCGCTCAGAGAGTAGGCAGACCTGGAACCAGGGAACACACTGCCTACATTTTCGTAGACTCAGGTACAGGGACTTTCAAAAGATGAGGATGAGGTGATGACCTCAGATGATGAGATGAGGACCTAGAAGTAGAAGGATTTAGCTAGCAGGGCAGACAGGTGCAGAAGATGAATGTTGGGATGGAAACCAGCAACATCCAGCAGGTAGACTGCGCTCCTTGAATGAAATCATATTCCCAAATTTTCCAGACTAATTAAAGTGAACATTTAATTACCTCCCATCTGTTGATCCAACAATCTGCTCTGTTATTTCCTGAGATTAGTGTGTTGTATCAATAAAATACACATATGATCAACAACGGAAACCAAACACTACACAGAATTAATTGTGAAGCTGACACAAGATTTGGATGTCATATTATAGATCCTGTAAGATTTGGATCACAAAATAAAACATCTTATGTCTGTAGAAATTTGACAATTTTTTGAAACAAGTATTTGAGAAGATCAAAAGTCTAAACTAGGGGTAAGCAAACTCTTGCCCTCTAGCTATGGTGCAACTACAAATCCCATGAGGCATTGCAAGATAAAATCCCATGAGGCATTGACAAGTTCAACCACAGGCATGAATCCCAGAGGCAGATACACAATGGGATTTGTAGTTTCACCACAGCTAAAAGGTCAGAGTTTGCCTACCTTTGCTCTAAACTATAGTCTTACTACACATATGGGTGCCATGTAAAAGCCTAAAGTGTTCAAAACTGTCCCACAGCCCCCAAAAATGGGCCACCCTGAGACACCGGGTGCAAACTATTCTAGCATCACTAATGATACCTGCACAGTGTCATTCCCCATCATGCTGTAACAATCAGATGTGTCAAAATACAAATATACCTCTAGAAAAACTCAAAATCCTTCCTTTAAAAAAATGTTTAATAAAACCTTGTGTGAGTTGTGGGATATACTGTAGCACCACAAATGTGGCTGGTTATATAAGCCTCAGCTAAATGTGCGTTTATTTTTACTGCATATTTCCCCATTATTATGACTTCCTGGATACATTCTTATGTAGCAAAAGAGGGTGAGAGCAGAATATTCAAATAAATACATATTCTTTATTCTTAACAAGCACTAAATAAGTTTCAAAACAAGTCCTCACTGACCTCTGTAGCTGCAGGCACCGTGCAGCAATTCATCCTGATATTCAGGCATTGTAGTCCAGTTTTGGTGGGTTTTGTGACTTGTTGGCCTTCCAGCCTTTGAATGTTGCCAAGTCACTGCAAGTAAAGGGAGCAAAGTTAGATAAAGCTGCTGAAAAACCAACTAGAACCTGACTTCAATGCCTCTCTTATGAACTTTGAAAATAAATCGCTACACATTGTCTGTAGCTACTGAGGTCATTGAGGACTTGTTTTAAAGCTCATTAAAACATTTTAAATATTTAAATGTTCATATCCTGGCCACAGGTCTCTTCCTGGTCAGTACAAATTTAAACCGGTAGTCAAAGATTTATGAAAGATCCAATCACCTTATGCCAAGGCAGGGGAGGTGTGGGAAGCTGCTGTCAGCGCCACCTATCTGACAGGGGAACAGTGGGGATTGGAACAGGTTTTTTTAATCAGTCCAACAAATCATCATTCCCCAAAGCGTGCTCAGTGAGCAGGTGTCACGTCAATGCACAAATGGTACAATCTGATTGACAGACTTCCTATTTCAATTAATCTTTTAATACAATCAATAAAAAACTGTGTATACTGGTGTCACCCAGCAAGTGTGACTGGATCTGCTAAGAAAACTGAATATAAATCAGATGATCATTTTAGATTTGCATGTGTAATGTATCTGTGCCGAATGATTATTCTTTGACAGTGCAGAGTAATCTATGGATTTTTAATAAACTGCTTTTTTAAAAGATGAGACAGCTGGAGGGCCGGAGTTTGGCTACCCTTGCTCTAAATGGAGATCCCAGGACAGAAAACTTTCCATATACACAAAATGCTTAAAAGTTTTTAGTATTTATTATCATAATTAATATTAAAACCAAAAATAACAAAGAAAACGATATCCTCCATAAACCAAAACTACAATATATGATCCTGATATCCGCATTCATTTGACATAATATCATGCTAATAAAAGATATCTATTGCACATATCTGTCCGGTGTTTTATAAATATATAAGTACAGTATATGGAAAGTTTTCTGTCCTGGAATCTCCATTTAGAGGGTATTTGTTGCTTTTTCCAATATACTATTGCACTGCTTTTTAACCAGCAGAAGAAACCCTCAAAGCATATTCTGATGACAGCTTTGTAGAAGTTCTTCTGCAATTCACAAGATAACATGCAGTAGGCCCCATTCACTAATGAATATACATGCATTATGCTGCCATACAAGCAAATCCTGTGCTTGTGGAGTTTATCACTCTTTCTTAAATGTGCACAAATGTACGCATGGATGCAATAGAAAATATATTTGGAATTTAAAGCAGCAAGGTCTAAATCAGGGCCCCTGTAAAATTTGATATACTGTAGTTTAAAAGGGCAAAAATGTATCTGTGAGAAAAACTGCAATTGCGCATGAAAACGAATA